TGGGAGGCTGTAGTAAGAGAATCACTTAAACACACGAGTTTGAGGTTGCTGTGAACTATGTGCTACAGTACTCTATTGAGGGTGACAGTGAGATTCTGTCCCCCAAAAAAAAAAAAAAAGGTTAAGTGACAAACAAGAAAGTTGCACAACATCATTTAAGAAAATTCAAACACCACAAAATATAGAAGGTTGTATCTTTGACATACACACACCAATCCAGTGGGGACAGCATGGTGGTTCCCTGTGCAGAAGAGGAGACACTGCCTTCCCCAATAAAGGAGAAAGTGTCCTTGGAGCGAGGACCTTACCTGTGATCGGACGCCTGCAGCTCTGCACGGCCATAATACCTGAGGGCACCAGGAGACCAGGTGTGTCTGACTTTGGGGCCAACATCTAGGTCGCCGTCCAGAAGGTCGAGTTCTCCAGCTGCTCACAGAGCCGCACATGCAACACAAAATCAAAGGACATACAGGAAGGCCATGATGGAGCCTCCACAACGGAGATCTCCGTCCCAACCCACCTGTGTCTTGGGCACCTCCGCTTTACCTCCCTGAACTAACCAGGCCTTGGTTGCTTTGGGGCTGGGGTTAATTATAAATATTCAAAGCAGTAACGACCACGACCACCTGCAACCCTCCCCAGCCTGGGAACTGTGGGTCTGGGACCCAGACCCTGAGCTGCAGTTCTCTGCCCAGGGCCCAGGGGATCCAGGACACCCACGGCAATACTCAGTCAGAACCCAGATGCTCTGCCCCTCGGGGCTCCGGGCCTGTGGTGCTCACAGACCTCTCCAAAGGAAAATCCTCTTTCAGTCACAGTTTCCTGGCTTTGAAATATCAGCAAACATCTCTTTTGAAATGTGTAATTGTTGCTTATGTATCAGTTTATAGGTGTTCTAACTTGAAATAAATTTCACTTCCTAGCTGGGTATCAACAATTATTTAAAACATACTTGACAACTAATTAATTACTTAAAAAAAATCACCTCTTACATTTACTGTGTCTTGCTCATGTTCAACTTGGAATTGGGGATTAAAGCAGATAAGAGTTTGGTGGGAAAAAATGGGCTGAATAAAGGAGTGTGGGGGGAGGCCTGGAAGCTTTATTCCCCATTTCCCAGCACAAGGGTTGGTGGGAGATAGCTGTGGTGCAGGGATGAGGACAGCAAGGAGCTGACCCGTTTCCAAGTCATCATCTCTACAAAGAGGCCAGAGGAGGAACTCCCCAAAGTATAACCTCCAAAGCTTAGGGGTTGACATCTGGGATGACTTTTGTGTCATTCTGGGTTATTGACTGTAACTTACAGAGGACCAGGCTGAATCAATGTGATTTCTTTTTCCTCTCCAGTGTTTACCGTTCAGCCTCCACAGCCCTGGGACACTCACCTGTCTTATCAAAAGGATGCTTCTTCCTCCACCACAGAACCCTGTCTGTCCAGGCCGGGGTGCGGCACTTGTCGCTTGTATCATAGGCAGCTGAGCCAACATCGTACTTGTAGGTCGGCCCAAAATTAATGGCTCCTTCATGAAAGTCCTTAAAAATCTATTGGGAGAAAAAGAAGTCACAAGGCTGCCCAAGTTCTTCTAGATTCCGTCTATGATATACACAAAAAATAAAAAGGTACTTTCCAGCGTGTTCAGTTCCTGAAAAGTAACCAAAGCTACTACATTATGTTTGCAAATACATCTAAACCCCAACATATGAGTGCCTTTTAACCAGCAAAAGACAGTCACCCCGCTGACAGACATACCACCCTTGACCCCTCCCTCCAGTGTCCGCTGGTCACCTTCAGGAGACTGTGGGAGGCTCCAGGCAGGGTCAGGTGTGCTCATGTGCACAGTCCCTGGCCAGGTGCAAGGTCACAGTCAATGCTTGTTGATCAAAAGAACTGAGCCCCAGAGGCAGAGTGAAAGCCAACTGTCCTCTCTTTGTTTAGCTCTGGATTGTCCTTGGTGCCCTGGGATGACCCAGGAACAATCACTTGTTCTCTCAGTGCATCACTGAAAGGGTGTGAATACTGGCAGGAGGAAGAAAGGGCAGCCTGTTTCAGGGAGGCCTGGTGTGGTCCCTGGCCACTCCTTGGTGATCCTTGTGCTGGCAGGGGCTGAGTGGGAAGGCCCAAAAAACCTCGAAGAATGTCCGAACCTCACGCTAGGAGATATCCGGTCTTCCCTCACCTCATACATTTAACCAGCTTCTTTCTTAACAGGTAAACGGAATTTAGACATGCTTCCGCTTCTCAGCCCTCATGCTAGGACGCTAACAGACCCCAGTATCTGCAAATACTTAGCTGGAGGAAAGCATACATCCAGGACATGTGGAAGCTGGCCAGGGTGACCCCGAAGAACTGAAGGCAGATTCCATAGCTGAATCTTCCCGATTAACATCATATCCTAAGGAGTCTCTAAAAACCTCTGCCTGGGCCACGTGGGGGAATATCTGTTCCCTGAGGTTTGACAGTCTCGGACTGATCCACGGCGGTGGGTACTGGCTGCTTGGCCTTGGATAAGGTATTTGACTTTGCCCTCACTTTTGTGTGCAAGATGAGAATAATACCAGGCTGTAGTACGGTAATGAGGATTACATGTACAAATTGTCATGTAAAGTTTATCAGTGTTATAACTCGTGAGCTTTTCACTAACAAGAAACAGTGATATCACCAAAGTATTTTAGGCAGAGTGCAAATGTTGCTGGTGGCATATTCTACCTAAAATAAAGCAGTCCCTGAGAAGTCTTGCATGTGAGCAGGAGGGGGAGAGGTAGACCTGGTGTCTGTGGACTCGTGTACATCAGCGTTCAACACCCCACACGGTGAGATGCTCAGTGCTGACTGGGGTCCAGCGAGCTGAACATAGCAGCTTCCTCACTGGCCAGACAGAGTTGCTGGAGCTCATCCCATTGGGAGGAGGGAAGGGCAGCAGGTGCACCTCCAGCTGCTCCAGCCTAAGCTCACTTAAGGAGAGGCAGGAAGTATGTGTGAATGGCCACTGCTGTTCCCGAACTCCGCACACCCTATGTTTTCCATTATACCAGAAACGCTGTGAAAGCCACTCACAGAAGCGACTTTGCTGCACACTCACCTGTACATTTCATAGATGGATTCCACCCTGAAGGAGCCGTCAAAAAGATTTTTAAAGCACAACTTACTTTTCCACTTGATTTCTGTAGCTGAAGTTGATCAAATTCCAAAAGTTTCTTCCAATCTTGGCGTTTCACAAAATAGAAGACTTCTTCGTAAGTAAGATCGATTCGGTAGTTGAAATCGCCACACCAAAACACATAATCATGAGAGAAAACATTTCTTCCCTGAGTTGGAAAGAAAAATCATTAATTACTCCAGCCCATCTTGAAAGGAAGGCAGGAGAGGGCAAAAAGCTCACTCACTGGGTGGAGGACAAGCAGGCGGGTATTTTACGTAAAAGTAATTTAAGGAACATTTTCTTTTACAGCATCTCATTTTCCACTAATTTCCTAAACTTACTGAGGAATTTTTACATGGCTAACTTTATGTTTAAAAAGGGTGTAGTGGCTCATGCCTGTAATCCTAGCACTCTGGGAGGCCAAGGCAGGTGGATTGCTTGAGCTCAGGAGTTCAAGTTCAGCCCGATCAAGAGAGAAACACCATCTCTAAAAACAGCCAGGTGTTGTGGTAGACACCTATAGTCCCAACTACTTGGGAGGCTGAGGAAAGAGGATAGCTTGAGCCCAAGAGTTTGAGGTTGCTATAAGCTCTGATGCCATGGTACTCTACCAAAGGTGACAAAGTGAGACTTTGTCTCAAAAACACACACAAAAAACACAAAAACCCCACAAAAAACCCCAAACATTTCTGAGCTGTTTGGAGAAAGCTCAGCTGTAATTGGCGAAGCAAGGCCACTGGTATTTCCTCTGTGATCTCCAGGACCTGGGGCCAGGCCCTTGCTTTGTGGTTTCTGCTCCTGAGAGTTGCCGAATCATTCAGCATTATAAGAACAAGACTTCAGAAAAGCAGGCAAAGCAGGCTAAGTGCTCAGACCGGCACCTTCACAAAACCTCATGACTTAAAAACATTTCCATCCGGAGGCTCTCTGTCTCCTTCTCGCCCTTCCTCCTGCAAAGCTGCCCAACTGCCAGGAGCCCGTGGTCCCCGCGGGCCCAGACAGCTCCAGGGTCCCTGCATCCCTTTCCTTTCCACAGTGACAGCAGCTGCTTCAGGTCCACTGCCTGCAAGGGCAGTTCCAGGGGCCCCATCGTCCTCACAGCAGCCCCTGTGTAGCAGGTACTATTGGTTCTCTTTTAGATTTAAAAATAACCAAAAATCCAAAAAAACTTCAGAAGTCAAGTACCTTGCTGAAGCCTGCACAGGTGGTGTGTGATAGAAGAGACTTGGGCTTAGATCTGCCTAGCTCCAAAATCTGTCTCTGTTCTCCCAAACTCTGTGGCAGTCCTACTTCCCCCTCCCCCGACAATCATCTGGATGGATTAAAACGACCCCAACCAAATAAAACGAGTGCCTAGACAGCACTGCCTGACGGAACTTTCTGCGGTGCTGGCAATGTCTTCTGCGCTGTCTGACCAGGGAGCCACTGGCCACACGCAGGCACTGAGCACTCCCACTGTGTCCAGTGCAGGCAAGGAATTACCAACTTTAATGAAATTTAAGTAGCTACTTCGCACCGATGGCTACTGTATTGGACAATACTAGTGTAGAATATTAACAGTTAGGTACCATTGACATTTCTGTTATTGAAAATAACACTGAGTTATAAACGCTTTAGTTATTGGAATGGGTCCCATGTTTGCTATTTCAAAATAGCACTTTTTAAGTGACAGGAGTTGGACTTTCTTTTTTAACTACATTATAAACACATGAAAATTTCTGAGCTCATTTATTGGTGTCTTCTTTAACGCAAGAAATAAAAACTGTAACAAGGATTACTGTGTTTATTAACGAAAACCAAGGAATTTTTGCCTTGAGTGCTAGGTAGCCAGTGAACAGGATGTCAATTTTCAGGAATCTTTTTTCACGAGAACAAAGTCTGTGACCCAACTCATCTTTCAGACATTGGACAACTTTGTGGCAAGAACAGCTGGAGCCTGCCTCAGGAATAGGTGGGCTGTGTGCCCCAGGCTGAAGGCTGGAGGGGTATTATCTTTAAACAGGGAGGGAGAGCATTAAAATCTAAATCTGGGGCTCAGTGCCCGTAGCACAGTGTTTATGGTGCCAGCCACATGCACCAAAGCTGGAGGATTCCAACCCGGCCAGGGCCAGCTAAACAATGACAACTGCAACGAAAAAATAGCTGGGCGTTGTGGCAGGTGCCTGTAGTCCCAGCTACTTGGGAGGCTGAGGCAGGAGAATTGCTTGAGCCCAAGAGTTTAAGGTTGCTGTGAGCTGTGACTCAGCAGCACTCTACCGAGGTTAACATAGTGAGACTATGTCTCAAAAGAAAAAAAAAATCTAAACTTGGTAAGAAACCCCTCTGGCTGCCACGAGAGGGCAGCAGGACACATGTTATGGGTGACCTCGGACTGGAGGCTCTGGCCCTGCAGTCACCAACTCATGAATCTCCTTAGAAGAAGAGCATCCTTACCTGAGCACAGCTGACTGCCTGAGAGGATTGCTAATCTCAAGGAAATGGAATCTTACACCGTCTGGGTGCAACTGTTCCCACCACTTGGACAGGACAAAGCACTGACATGGTTTTCTTTCCCCAAAGCATCACTTCAATTATTATATCAGAAAGTGCACGTATGGAAACCTACGATTCATGCAGACACTCAGGAGGTGTTTGGAGAGGAGGGGGCAGAGTGCTGAGGGCCAGCCTGCTCTGGGTCACTTCTGTGGGCCCCCTCCCCAGGGCCGAGCCCTTGGGCAGGGACCCTCCCGAGGCCGTGTCCAGCCTGGCTCACCATGGGGAAGCAGAGCTTCTGTGTGATCTCCCTGTAGTCCTCGTTCCTCTCCTTCACCTGGGACTGGCCGGCTGTCAGGTGGCTGCAGATGAAGCAGAAGCTGGTGCTGTGGAACTGGAAGCGGATGCCCACGGCGCCTTTGTTCCCTGCCTTTCCGCCCATGCCCGTTTTCACCGTGTCGATTGCCACATCCCTAGAAGAGAAGAATGTGCCCACCACACAGCTCAGTAGTTGCTGCAGAGATAGCTGCTCTGACACTCTATTCAATCACATCTCTAGCGGCCACACAACACAGTGACCAACATGACTGTCATCATCCACACAGTCAGGAGCCTGCCTCCCTCTCACCGCCAGCACCTGCCAGGAGCATATTCCCAGTGCCCGACTCAAAAGGGCTTTGGGCACACATGAGCACTTCATGAGGCTGAAGACAGGGTGGGCCCTGTATTTGCTCCACGTCCTCTCTGCCAGCAGGGCAGCATGGACGTCATGACCCGCAGCCCACCCCCCATGTAGTCCTCAGGCAGAGTACAGAAGTCAACACGTTTTAAGAGCTGGGAAACACCAGTCCTCCAGCTGGGCTGGGGAGGTGGGCTCATTTTATGCACTGTAGACTCCTGTTGGCATTAAAATACCACCTTATACCATGGGCAGGTGAACAGGTAAGTCCACAGAACCATGGACTACGAGCAGACTCCTTAACATTCCTGTGACCATGCCACAGACTGAGGCCAATGGCGCCTCTGTTCCCTAGCAGACAAGGTGAGGGTGACAGCTCACCGGAGGGATGCAGGCTATACAGGTGAGGGGGCCAAAGGAGCAGGGAACAGGGGACACGGGTCTGGGGAGCCTGGAGCTGCTCAGCCCTGTTCTTGAGCTCTGATCTTTAACCCTGACCCTGACCCTTTTAACCCTTTAACCTGACCCCAGCCTTGCCTTTCCTCAAACCCTCACTAACTGGACCCACTGCCCAACAGCCACAGAACACAAGTATAAGAATGCAGACTTAGATAGTTTCTCAAAGTCACAGAGGAAGACGGTGAACATGGAGCAGTCTCCCTCCCAACAGGCTGCCAGGAGTACGCCCATGGAACTCTGAATGCCGCAGGTGCTCGGCCAGGGACAACCCCATCTGACTGAGAAGAAAGGTGGGCTCAGGGCCTGGCACCAGCAACTAGAAAGACCAGGAAATCCTCACGCCACAAAGAATACCTGGTAGCAAAATGAAGCCACCAGGAGGTTGAGCAAAAAGATGACTTCCTCCAGTATCTTAGAACCTATGCTCACACCCACACCTGCCCCTCCCTAAAAGCCTCCTAAGATTTCCCCTTTCTGACACTCACAGAGCTGTCACCCTAGAGAAACAACCGTGGGGTGGCGGGGTGGAGGCCCACACAGTCTCCCTAGAATTCTTTCAGAAAGAGACTAAGAGTTGTCATTTCCTGAGAAGTTACTCAGCTCTTGCTCACAGGCTTCCTGTCTGTAAAATTCCAGCAAGGAACTCCTTTCCTTCCCCAGAACCGGGCTTGGAATGCTCTAGGAGAGCTTGGCTTCCCGAGTTAGGAGTTCCCCACTGTGGCTTCTTAATTGCTAGACAATGTTCTATTCAGCCTAGTTTTTCCCTGGGGGGTTTGCTCCATTAATCTAGAATAATGCAGAAGAGGAGGAAGAAGACCACGGAGGAGAACGACAAAGAACAGAACACAAAGACTAACAACCCCTTCTTCCCCAAATGTACAAAGGTTCTTTGTAACAAAGGTTCTTACCTGATGAACGGGACATGGTATGGACGTACAAAGATATAAAGACAGACGCCCACCAGCTGTGCCGAAGTCAAGAGAATGTACCTATGAGAGCGTGAGATGGCTTTCTGAAGCTGCTCACCCCACATCTTCCTGTTGGTGGTACTGGGAGAGAAAAGAAAGGAAGCGTGGCAGGGCCGTCTCCCACCCGCCAGCTGCTCCAGCCCGCAGCTCTTCCTTTTACAGAACTGATTTCACACTGCCTGCGCCCAGCCAGCACTGTGCCCGCGCCTCAGTGGGCCATCTGTGACTTTCCGGTTGTGTCTCGCACATCACAGCGGCCCTCTCCCCGACTCCTGAAGCCCAGCACAAGACCTTCTCCTGGGAGCTCCACCAAGCCAGTTTTATTTCTTTGTTCCAAAAGTTCTCTGAAGTAAAGCAGGGCAAGTTTGGGAGGTGGGGAAAGAGTCTGATTGACTTTACCAAATGTTAGTCCAGTGGTTTCAGTAAATTTTGTTTGTACTTAATTTTCTTTTTTTTTTTTTTGACAGAATCTGTCATCCAGAGTAGAGTGCTATGGTGCCATGATAGCTCACAGCAACCTCAAACCCCTAGGTTCAAATGATCCTCCTGTCTCAGCCTCCAGAATAGTTGAGACTACAGGCATATGCCACATGCCAGGGTATTTTTTCTATTTCTAGTAGAGATGGGGTTTAGCTCTTGCCCAGGCTAGTCTCAAGCAATCCACCTGCTTTGGCCTCCCAGAGTGTCATTAAAAAAAATTTTTTTTTAAAGAGACAACGCCTCTGTCACCTAGGCTGGACTTAGGTGGTACAACCACAGCTCAAGCCTGTGGTTTTGATTCTTCCCTCTGTCCTTGTGTAAAGGAGGGGTGCGTGGCTTCCCCGCACTCATCTGCTCTCTCTCTCTCTCTGCCTGGTCCCGTCCCAAGCCCCAGGCTCATACCCACCAGCTCCCTGTGGCTCCCTCCTCAGCATCAGCACCTGGCTGAACCAAACACCTCAGAGGAAGCATGGCAGCAATTAGCCCCTCTTTCTACTTTCTTCATTAGAGGGGAAAAAAGAACAGGATGCGTGTGGGGAAGGAGCCCACAGGGGACAGCATGCAGCTGGTTGGGATGCAGGCTGGCTTCAGGAGAGCCTCGGGGCCAAACTCCCAACTCGGGAAGATGACTCCGCACCCCTGCATGGCCCCTCACCTGGCATTGACGATATTCCCTGCACTCAGTTCCACCATCTCTTCAAACCCCACAGCAAATATATCAGCCGGGCTGCTGTCATCTGGGGAACAAGGCAGGAGATGAAAATACTCAGAACCAACCAGTCCCGCATTCCTGGACTGCATCAAGTTGACCCCACTGTCAACTGCCTGAGTCCACCTCAAGGAGGCTGCACCACCCTGGGAGCTGCTCGCTTGGGGTAGTGCAGCCCAGCGAGCCCAGAGGTGCTCTGTGCTCCTGCCTTTGTTGCCTTTAACAGGGGAGCTTAGAGCTTTAACGCAGTCACTGCACCCATTTACAGCACCTTCCCAGCTGGGTCCTCTGACACTTGGGAACCAAAGCTGTTAAGCCCAGCATGGTTCCCGCTGCTGCAGAAACCTGCTTCCCCAGCTTCATCAGTGAGAGGCCAAGCAGCCCGTCCCAGGGTGACCTAGAACTTCTAGCTTCACCCATCTAAAATCTTCTTTTAAAGAAGAAAACAAAACCTGTCCCCACTTGATCTGGTTGGCAACAGTAGCTACAACCCCTTCCTTGTCCTGAATCTGGTGGGACACTAGTGGTGTCACTGGTGAGCCGAGTAACATCCCCTTGCAGGGTGACAACCAGCTTGTGGAAGCCACTCACCCTTTCCCATAGGCAAAGAAAGAGGAGTCACCTCAGCATTGGGGACTCCCCGCGGCCAGGGCTGGACTGACGTGCTCACATTCCGGGGGCAGTCAGAATGGTTTCTGGTCGCATGACAAATGCCAGCGCAGGGCACCCAGAGACTCAACCATGTACCTCGCTGCTTGGCCTCTGAGGCAGAGTGGACAGTGCAGATGGTGTATGTGGCACAAGGGGAAAGGGCTCTGGGCACTGCATGACTGGGCAGCTGTGGAGAATGCACAGAGGCACAGGCCACCACACAATCCCTGGACACACCACTCAGCAATGGGCCCAGAACCTGATCATAAGTCTCTTCCTGGTCCAAAGGAGGACAAAAAGCAAGGCCCAAAGCCCCCAAGTGATCAGGGACTGGACAAAATCATTTTAATTCTCAAATCTTAGGTTCTGAAGCCATTCAACATCTTTTTTGTTGTCGTTGTTAAGCAGGCCCAGGCCGGGTTCGAACCCGTCACCCTGGCACATAGGGCTGGCACTCTAACCACCGAGCTGCAGGCACCCAGCCTTTTCAACATCTTATATTGCATAATATGAGACAAAAGGTGAGTGTCAAATTCTCAAAAAGCATTTGAATTCTTTCCTGACTCCTTAGCGTGGATAACAGAGCTAGTCTGGGGAAAGGGCAGTGAGGGTCTCTGGGTCAACAGCAACCTCAAAGCCACGCCTGGCTCCAGCTCCTGACAGGGAAGCAGCTCTAGATGCCACATCTTCTTCCTGGTGACAAAACCTAACTAAGCTGTGAAATCTCTCTTTAAAAAGCAAAGAGAGACTCACCACTTGATGTCTCTGCTAAACATGTGGGGGGAAAAAAGGAGTCAAGTGTTAATTTGCTGGGCCGATTTCTAGAAAGTTAGACCACATACTTTTTAAACATTCTGAGGAAGAAAAATACCAAACACAAAATTCTATAAGGCAAAGCCTGATATGGCGGGTCGGCTGGGCTGTGTTTTGTCTTGCTACAGCGACGGCCCTCACCCTGGGTCCCCATTGCGCCGGCAAGCTGGGGCGCATCGAGCAGCCAGTCTGTCAGCTCTGAGGTCCCGAGGAGGTTGCTCCGGAACTGCTTGCCCCCATTCACGTTCCAGGTCCCCATGGCGATACGAATGCGTTTGAAGTTTGTGAATTCAGACTGACGCTCCATCATCGCTTTCAGGATCCTGGGAGTCACTGTCAGGAGGCAAAAGAGGGCACATTTGTCTGCAGTTCAAAACCACAAGCACCCTCCAAAGCTATGGAGGGGCCACCTGTCCCAGAGAGACAAAAGAAGCTTCTAGATGTGCTTCTCAGGAAGATGATAAAAGGCTCAAAACTACAGCAGCCAGTACATGCCCCTCCTGGTGTTTCTGCAACAAAGGTATGAAAACACAGGATTGGAAATTCATCCCTCCACACTCCTGCCCCACCTAGACAGCAGCCAGCGGCCGTGTGACATCCAATCCCAGGGCGTCTCAGACACGGTGGGGGAAAAGCCCTGTCCCCAGCACCCCCTGCACTCTTCACGATCCCATAGAAGAATAGGCATCAGAATTAAAGTGAGGGGACCCTGCAACTGACCATATTTAGAATCCACACACACCAAACTTTAAGCGTCCTACCAACCAAAACACCACTTTTGCACCTGCCACCTCCCGTCCTGTATGCCTGAAATGTTTCATTTCACCTCAGACTTTAAAAAGGCTTAAAAACATCATTGCATGGCATATCTTCATCAGCTAGATAGCCAAAATATACTCGTGTTTTTAAACTAGTGACATAACCCAAATCTAGCTCCAATCTGCCTTGTGATTACGAGCGACTTGCCACACTACTCAGAGCTTTGCCTGGCGGTCACCAGGCAGATGTTACTCCCAGACCAGAAGCTATTATCACCATGGCTATTAGAAGCCAAACATGAGTTCCCCTGATGATGGAAGGATGAGGGTAGAAAGAGGCTTTGAAAACATTTTAAACATAGGCAAGTTCATTTTTCAAAAACACCGTAAGTTTCTAAAACAAGATCTTTAAGGACGAATGCTGGGTCTCTTTTTCGATTAGGCCTATAAGGTTTATAGGCCCCTGATGACAAGATGCCATTAAAATGTGCTTTAAGAGGGCTCTCTGGCTCTTCATGGAGTCACAATGCTCTTGACACTGAGAAGGTGTCCTTGTCCCCAGGACAGGACAGTGTCATCCAATTTCTCTATCTCCACAGGGCCCTCAGGAGCCAGAAGAGAAAGCAGAGGCCAACCTCATGGCCAACCCTTACAGCAGACATCAGCCGCCAAAGGCCCAGAAGGCAGGCAGCTGAGGAGTTTCTGCAGGTGGGTACACTCAGAGCCCGGGTGCTTTTCAGGACAGCATACTGCCCTTGCATGGCCCAGGTTTCCCCCCTCCTCCCAGTAGACCCATGAGTTCCCATTCCAGTCAGGGGTGGCGGCTGCTATGAGTAGGTCAGTGGGTCAGACCACAAGGCCACAGGCCACAAGCCCACATGACCTGTGAGCGTCCACCACCCACCACCCAGGTTACGGAAGGGGAGTGGAATCCACACCCTCTCAGTAGGCGGGAGCCCCTCACCCAGCAGGGCTGGGCTGTCCAGCAGCGCCCGCCCCTTGTCTGCCGACTCCTCGCTGCACACGTCCCCCACCAGCAGCAGCTTGATGGCCTCCTGCTTCACCCCATCAAAGAAGTTGGACTGGATGGTGCGGGACACAGACCGGGCCCCGTCCTTCAGCTTCCCCACCTGCCGGGAGTGCAGACCACAGGCATGAGCAAGGCCCAAGCAGGTGGCCCCTGCCCTGCCTCCACTTCCCACCCCTGCCCAGGGCTGGCCGCTACCTTGGCCTTCCCCTCCAGGGCCCTGCTCCCTGTGAATACTTTGCTCAGGCTGTGCCCATTCAGAGACCACATGGCTTTGAAGGACTCCACAAAGCGATCAATGATGGGTTTGGAATTCAGCCCCAGGCTCTTGAGCTGTAGTTGAAGGACCTGGGGGAGAATTAAAGAACAGTCATTACCTACGTCTCCCACAGATGGAACGCACCCAGGGGTCGTACTGGGAAGTCCCTTACTCAGTGAGAGTGGGGAGCTCTTACAGTAGAGACAGTGGCTCCCACCCCAACTCACACCAGCTTCACACAGTCACTCCCCCAGCCCCTCCTCTGACCTCCACCCCTGCCAGAGACTGGACAGCAAACAGTGGTGGGACAGCAGGTGGTGCGATGCCAGGAGAGGTCAACCAGGTAGCTGGGCAGACTCAGGTCTCCTCCCTAGCTCCAAACAAGCCTCATCCAGCTAAGCTCACACTGCCTCCGCCCATCAGTGCAACTGAGATGGTCATCACACAGAAATGCTGTCCCAACGGCCACTGGAAGCCTTTGGGCACTGTGACTGGGACGTGCTCCAAAGGGTGTCTGTGGTGGCAATGGCACCCAGGGAACCCCTCTGCAGATACCTCAGCACATCCCTGTCAACCTTGCCCACAGTTAGGTCATCTGGTGTCACCACCCTCCTCCCACCATTCAAGGTACCCAGCCCAGCCTGCCCTGGGTGAAGGCGCGGGACGTGGCCCAGACAGCCCGAGAGGCTGGTGCAGGGACTAACCTCGAGTGCGATGAAGCACTGCACAGTGTTGGTCCGGTCCAGGCAGTCAAGACAGTTCATCCGCAACGTGCCCTTCTGAAAACTTAGGCCAAGAAGAAGAAACGCCAAGTCACAAGTTGTGTTCGAGGCACAATGGCTGTCACACAACAAGCTGGGTCTGACTGCTGACTCCTGAGGAACTTCTTCCAGGAGGGAACCCCTCGCCTCTTCCCTAGTTCCCCTCCCCCCTCAGAACCCCGAGTACATCCTGACAGATCTCAGTGCTGCTGGCCGGGCAGGCTGACCCCAGAACACGCACTCAGCAGCCAACACGTCTGGGCCACTACCATGACAGCTGGTTCTTGTCATTTGCAGCAATTGTATTCTATAAAGTCACGTGAACACTGAACCATGACTCCTATAGAAGTACGGGGTTAGGTTCCTGTGAGCCTCTGGCCACATCGATTTCATCAACTGATCAATGCAGAACCTTGTTTGATGTGTCTGTAGAAAGACACTTCAGTGAATTTATATATGTAGGTATTAAACCACTGAACTCGCAGCCAGCAGCACTACGACTCACAGGCAACAGAACCTTATCTAACGCGTGAACGTGTGTTTTCCATAAAGCACATCACCACTTTCTTCTCCTTAGAAGTGCTGACTGCACTGCATTGATTATAAGGTTACGAATGCGTCTCAGCAAGGTGAATTCAGAAACTGGAATCTGCAATCAGAGCACCTGGTGCATGGGATTTTAGGGCCTGGACTTCCTTCTCCTCCTCAGCTCTGACCAGGACAGCCCACGCCTCACTGTCCTCGGGCAACCTGGGTTTGTGCCAGCTGCCCCCCTCCAACCAGTAACAATGTCCCCTCACTCTGATCCACACATTTCAGCGTGAGCTCCACATTTTAATGAAGTCCCCTTTATTAGCATATTTCTTTTGCTAGGAAACCATGCTTTACTGTGTACTTGCAAAATTCAAAAGTACATCTGGGAGGCAGGGAGAGAGGGTTGGAGCCCTGGGTGTCCAGCATCCCTGAGCTTATGAGCTGGGGTTCCCTGCATGGGGGGGGGAGGTAGCGAGGAAGGGAAGCTGTCCTGGCCAGGGCAGCGGCGACACTCACCGTGGACTTACATTCTCGCCCTTTGTGAATACGTCCAGGTCCTCCCAGTGCAGCTGCAGCTGAGGCCTCAGAAGGTGCTCTAATTTCTCTAGCTTCCCGCCTTTGGCAAACTGATGAAAGTCAAAGTTGATCATAGGCGTGTCGCCGGCGTGGCAAGAAGCCCAGAGCAGCTTCTGAAAAGGGAGCAGAAGGGCGGTGAAGGGAATAGAGGGCAGGTGGACAGTGCCCACCAAGAGGCTAACCAGGGCTGCTCGCTAGAGGGTGGGGCTTGGCTCAAAAGCCTACAGGGCACAGGCTGTTGACCCGTCCTGACCCTGGCAGGGAACAGCGGGACAAAAGCCCTGGAGGGACAGAACCCACAGGAACATCTTGCCTGCAGAAGGGCAGAGGGTCTTCCTTGGGCAAAAGGGAGGGCACAGGTGAGGGAAGGTTGCTCTGTTCTTCAGGTAGGCGGAGCACCCCAGGCCCTCAAGGACAGTAGCACTGCAGGCTGTGGAGCTCATAATCCAGCTCACTGTTGCCCCGGTAACCAGCCCCATCCTGACAAGCACAACCCCCATGAGGGTGTGCTCTGAGTGGCTAAGTCCCAGGCTGAGTGCTCTGCATGGAACAAGAAGCCCAGTGCAACTTCAGGATGAGGGAGATGGAGTGAAGTGAAGCAGGGTTGGGGGGCACAGCAAGGGCTGCCAATAGTGCTACCCTGCCTTCAAGGGGCCTCCCCTCTGCGCAGCACCTCCTCAGCTTCCCTGCCACAGCCCCAGGGTAAGGAGGACTGCCACCTTCCTGCACCACACTGCATGGCTTCAAGTCAGGTCCATCCAGCATCTGCCCGGCCTGCCCACCCCTCTGGTCACAGGCAGCCTTCACTTCAGTGCCAGGGCACCTCCACCAGCTGACCAGAAGGGCTGAGGCCATCCTGTCCCCAAAACTCAAGGCACAGAGGGGAAAGAGATTTGGGGCTCTCCTTTTTTTTTTTTGGTTTGCATTTTATCCCCTGCTCCTTAAAATAAGCAGCTAGTGTCGCTGCCAAGACAAGTGGAAAGGGAGACATTTCTGCAGCTTGTCGCTAATAGCAACAAACCAAACAGGAAAAGCAGGTCTGGACAAATAAAACGGGCAACCAGAAAGTCCTTGCCCCAAGCATGTGGCTTTTCTAAGCAAAGGGAAGTGAACCCAGTTGGACTTGGCTTCCACCAGCTGGGGTCAGGGTCAGGTGTCAGCCACAGAGGCCAGCGCTCACTTTCTGCTGAGGTAACCTCGAGCCCTGTCCATAAGGGACATCTTTGAGTGTCAAACAACCAGTTTTTCCCCATCACGCAGAGGACGTGGGAGGCCAGCAAAGGAACAAGGAGCTGCCACACCTCGTTCGGGAATATCCTGTGTGCTGCACACGGGGAGCAGGCCTGGGCAGGTGGACTCAGATGGGAGAGGCTGGGGCAGGTGGCTGCTGTCACCTGCTCTAGTTACCTACTCCTGCCCTGGCTGGGCTCTCCCCACCCTCCCTTGATAGTTAGAGTAGGCCACCAGCAGGGGAAGTGGGGCCATCTAAGCTCCTGCTCTGAATCAAGGCCCTGAGGCCAGAGCCCCCAAGGGGCTGCCCAAGAGCCAGCAGGAGGAAAAGGGTCGCCTCCCACCTCCACAGGACTGGGAGGGACTCTTGGAGGGAGCATTGGCTCTGACTGTCCCACAAGAGTCCAGGGCAGTGGGGGATGGAAACACCCCGCCTCAACTTTGAGTGCAGAGAAATGAAGCTCACTGCACCAGGGTCCTGAGTCACCCGGGCGTGCTGGGCTCGCATGGGGGGACTTCAGGGACAGAAGGGGCTAGCTGTGGCCTTCAGTCCCCACAAAGCTACCTGCCCTCGCCACCTGAGGTGTGCAGGGGTCAGGCTGGCCTTACCTTGAAGGCTCTGTTGAGCACCTCCTCGCCGCCTCTGCTCCCCAGCAGGTTCACAACCACCTGCCGCCCGTACTGCTCCTTCAGAAGCACCATGTGCCTGCAACGGCAGGGGCAGCGCTGACACCAGCAGGGCACAGACGGCTGCCCCGTCCAGCCCTCGAGGGGCTGTGCTTTCTCAGTGCCAGCCACCCACCATGACCCAAAGTGTGGAAAGTGAGCCTGGGCTGGAGAGGACAGTCTGACACAGCCACTGTCACTGCTGGCTGGGTAGACTCCTTCTACACAAGTCTGGGATCAGAGAAGGATATGTGGGACCTTCTATAATGAACTACTGTTGAACCCAGAACAGCAAACTTCGCCTTTCACAAATAGTCTTATAAATGCAATGTGCACGGTTCTGGAATTAACCCCTCATCTCACTGGTATCTGTCTTCTCAAAACTAGAAAAACTGGTAGGTGAGCTCTCAACCTCGGCACCCAGTTTTCTAGCTAAGGGCTGCCCCTCACTGTGCAAGAAGCCCACAGGCTTGTTTCTTTTCAGAGCCGGAACAGAATCAGTATTTACTCATTATTACTCAATATTACTCAATATTACTCTATTCTGTCACCAGCCCCAGACTCCCTTGATCAAATGATTCATCCCCTCTGAGCCACTCCCCTCATCTGTGGGACGAGACTACTCCCCCGCTGCAGAGTGGTCATGAAAAGGACAGAGGGGACAGAAAGTGACATGGACCACACCACACGTGGTATTTCTTTCCTTCCTTTGAATGTAAAAACACATAACAGACTTTAGATAAACTAAAGATTCTATTTGCTGACCCCGGGTATACAGGAGGGAACTGGCATCAACACCGAGGTGAGTGACATGCAGACTGGCTCCTGGCCTGGGTGGCTCTGTGTATAGAGGCCTCCTGCTCCTTCCCTCTGCCCATCTGTTATGTTATAGGAAGCTACCTGGAAAACTGCAGGGATCTGGGGACACTGACAAGTCAGATTTCTATCTGGAAGCCCCCTTCTGACCTCTGGGGGGACCAAGAGTCAATCACAGCCTGAGGTGCACACTGAGGGTTCTTGCAGAGAGAGGGTGAAAGCAGAGCAGCGTTCCTGTCCTGCTGAGGGAGATCAGCCACTGCCCAGGATAGGTAACTTGCCACCACACTGAGATGGCAAGACTCTGCTCCAAACACCTCCTCAGGCATGGTGCACACAGGGTCAGCCATTGCCCACAAGGGCACCCGAGCATTCCATTGGTAGAAAAACTACCCATGGAAGGAAATTTTTAGAGGAAAGAAGGGATTTACTTTGGACAAATCCATCAAGGAACTGAAAGACTCTTGAGAATACAGTGAGGCCCCAGAGACGGGGATCCAGCAGGGAGAGTGCGCCAGCCCAGGGTGCCCGCTGCCCTCGGGGAACCCTCACAGTGGACAGAGGTGCCACTTCATTCCTCAATACTACTCTCAAACACAGTTGGCAATTAATACGAAAAATGGGCAGCTCCTCCAAGGAACATGAAGGCACACGATTCCAACTGAATGTTGTGGTTAAAAAGCAGGAAGAGATTTCCTGTAAGCCAAACCATAAGCAGGAGCTGCCCGGAAAAGGACTTACAGAGTCAGCAAGTCTTTCTGTGACCTGCAGAAGGGATCTACATTTACCCTAGATGTGGGGACGCTGTCCATGGGGCAGGCCACCTCTGGGGTGCTTGTGGGAAGACAAAGGTCACACCACGCATTCCCAGGATGCTAAAAAATCTCCAGTCTTGAAAATGAGCTTACAATACATAAACTTATTTTTTTTTCCTTTTTTTTGAGACAGAGCCTCAAGCTATCCCCCTGGGTAGAGTGCTGTGACATCACAGCTCACAGCAACCTCCAACTCCTGGGCCCAAGCGAGTCTCCTGCCTCAGCCTCCCAAGTGGCTGGGACTACAGGCACCCGCCACAATGCCCGGCCATTTTTTGGTTGCAGCCATCATTGTTGTTTGGCGGGTCTGGGCTGGATTCGAACCCGCCACCTTAGGTGTATGTGGCTGGCGCCTTAGCCGCTTGAGCCACAGGCACCGAGCCATAAACTTATTTTTTAAAAAAGCTCATAAACACATGAGGGTTTCAGAAACAAGCCTGGCATAACCCTCCTCTCTTGTTTTGGGTCACCTTCAGGCGGAATTTCATTTTCAGTTATATATTTATTATTCCCTAGAATATTTAGAACTACATATGTACAATGTTTAGGACATACTACTAATGTTCAGGAAAAAGACGTTAGCATTTTCATCACTAGATTGTACATCTCTTTACACTAAAACCCTTTTCTTGTAACATGCTAATTATGAGCCAGGATCATGGTACTAGTATTATGTTTAATAGAAGAATATACACACAAATGTAAAATCTGAATAAAGCTTCAGGTGGAATGATTAAAAACATTTTCAAAATTACTTTATGTTTTCTTTGAGATAGGGTCTTGCTATGCTGCCCAGGCTGGTCTCCAAGTCCCAGTCTCAAGCAATCCCTCTGCCTCAGGCTCCCAGGTAGCTGGGACTATAGGCATGTTCCACACCATGCCTGGCTAAAAAATGCTTTTTTTTTTTTTTTTTTGAGACAGAGTCTCACTATGTTGCTCTGGGTAGAGTGCTGTGGTGTCACAGCTCACAGCAACCTCCAACTCTTGGGCTTAAGCTATTCTCTTGCCTCAGCCTCCCAAGTAGCTGGGACTACAGGTGCCCACCACAATGCTTGGCTATTTTTTGGTTGTAGTTGGCATTATTGTTTGGCAGGCCCAGACTGGATTCAAACCTGCCAGCTCCGGTGCATGTGGCTGGTGCCCCAGCCACTGAGCTAAAGGTACCAAGCCAAAAAAAAAAAAATACTTTTGAGACTTTTACTATATTCACTAAGATAATACAAATTAGTATTTAGTTTAAAAAGAAAAATATTTTAAGATGTTATTGACTATTTCAAGTACATATTACAAATATTTCAGCTTAGCAATGGCTTTTCTTAAGCAACAAAGCAGTAAGTGTATTATAACCTAATTTATGTTTTTAAAAAAGAAAAAAATATATATACATGCACCAAAGTTTTTTCTAGAGTAATGTGTAAAAAAAGAATAATAGTACAATCTGTAAGAGTGGGAATTGACTTTATTTTAAGAAGAAATTGGTAAGAGAAAATAATTGCAAAGCGCTATCTGAACAGTGATTAATTAACCTTCAGGAAACCTGGGAATAAGTGAATTTCCATTTTGTAAACTCCCCTCCTGCATTAAGGACCAGGGGAAAAGGCAGATCAATGTTCAGGGTTTGGCCCTTCTCCTCCCTGCCATGCCCTGTCCCCTGTGCCACTGTCTGATGGGAGGAAGATGCCTAAGGACAAGGACGATGGGCTCAAGTAATGCCAGACAATCCCTACCTGTCAAAAGCAGGGGCGTTGGCTTCCAGGCCTCTGTGGAGTCTCAGGCGATGGGAGCCAACCTATAGCAATGAGAGGTAACACAGTGAATCTCCCCGCTGTGCAGACGGAGGAACGATGGTTTTCCCATTCTCCTCCCCACTGCCAGCCAGCTCATAGTGGCAGCCACTCAGCCACCTCCATGGCCTCTTCACAGCTCTGGAAGGCTGGGCTCCCTGGACACTGATCTGACCTCTGCCCAGTCCTAACTGCAATAGGGACCCATCAGCCAGAATTCTTCCACAGGCAGAAGAGGAGTTCCCAGGTAGGAGCATGAGGCAGATGTCAGGTTCCCATTCTCTCAGAGTGGGTCAGTCAAGCCAGCTGGAGAGAAAAACTGCTTCCCAGGCTCCTGTACTCCTTCAGGGACCTCAATTTCCTCCAAATCTCAATGATCCTAATCATCTAATTTGCCTTATCATTTACTATTTAATAAATACTCACTTTGGTTTAAAAAACAAATTTAAAATATATACTATAACTGGAGCCAGTTTGCAGAACTTTCACTGGCCAAATACGGGACAATTTGAGAATCAAACTTTTTTTTTTTTTGAGATAGAGTCTCACTATGTTGCCCTCTGTAGAGTACTGTGGCATCTCAAACAGCAATCTCAAACTCTTGGGCTTAAGCAATTCTGTTGCCTCAGTAGCTGAGACTACAGGTACCTGCCACAATGCCCAGCTATTTTTTGTTGTAGTTGTCATTGTTTGTTTGGCAGGCCCAGGCTGGGTTCAAACCCACCAGTCCTGGTGTATGTGGCTGGCATCCTAGTCACTGAGCTACAGGTGCCTAGCCTGAGAATCAAACTATTTAAAGAATGGATTAACCTGATGAATAAAATAGGAATTCATAAATCTACAGTGATGATGATTACATGGATGGGTGGATGGACAGACAGATAGCTGAATGGATGGATAGGTGGCAGGGGGATGGGTGGACGAACGGACAGATGGACAGATGAATGGGTGGGTGGGTGAAGGGATAGAAACATCACTTGGAAGGATGGATGGGCGGGTGGGTGGCTGGATGAGTGTATGGGTGGATGAGTGGGAGAGAAAAGGAGGCTCTTCCTTATATTAGAATACCAACTGAGAAAAGTGGAGGAATCAGTGGAAAATCATCAGTTTACAACTGTCATAGTAAAGAATTGCTTAGGGCACAGTTCCCACCAAACTATTAGAAAGTTGTGTTCAGCAGAAGTTATCTGTTGATGATAGACTTTTTTTTTTTAACTTCAGATTAATATGAGGGTATAACCAGGTTCCAATATTTGTGTTTGCTAGGTAAGGTCCCTGTTGTAGTTGTGTCCCGCTGATGATAAATCTTAAGTTTGAGGAGGAGCAGGATACTAGCACGGTCTCAAAGTGGCTCCCGGAGACTGCTTATCAGCTGAAAGGGAAAACACGTAACTGGAAGTGGATAAAGTGAATAGCGCTTTGACTGGGTGACCAAAATTAACACCACTGCCGAGAGGCAGATGGACACCCCATGTCTCCAGGGGTGCTCCCCTGAGGAGGACACAGTGTCAGTTAGGCAACATTCTGGCCAAGGTCTAACCCTGAATCAGATCATAATGAAACACCAGGAAAACCCCAAAGCGGGGGCTTTTTGAAGAGGGCCTGCATTCTCCAAAAACATCAATGCTACGAAAGTCTGGACGGCTGAGGAACAGATCGAGATTAAAGAGGACCAGAGATGTGATGGCTAAGTGCAGGATATGATGCTGGATGGAGGGGGGTCCCACAGGACATGATTGAGACGACTGAGATCTGGAATGTAGACTGCAGATAAAATTATTGTATCAACGTTCATTTCCTAAGTGTGTCCCTACGCCATGGTGATGTAAGAGAGCATATTTTGCACTTAGGTAAAGAGACAACGTATACTCTCAAGCGGTTCAGAAAATAACTAACGTACATGTGCGACAGAGGCTAGAAACATAAGCAGTGTGGGTGCGGGACACGCCGAGCTCCCCCTCTGCTCCTAGGACTTTCCCATAGGTCTGAAATTATTTCAAGAGAAAGGTGTTTTAAAATGTCCTGTTAGATTTTGCTTGTGTTTGAATGTTGCAAAGTGGTGTCGTTAAGAGTCGCCTGTATGGGGTGTGCCCAATGCTGAGTGTCACCACGCATTACTACACAGCTGTCCCACCACATCCCAGGGGAAGCATCATCTAGAGAACTGGCTTCTCAGCAACGGATCTAGGAATTTTCTATCTATGGGATTCAACAAAGATCCAAATCCCCTTTGACACTAAGACACACCAGTCATAAGGGAAATGAGTCAGCAAAATGAGGCATCCCAGGGCCGCTAGCTGACGGGGCTCCTAAGGCAGGCTGGAACCAGCACCTTTGCTCTGCTGCTCGGGCCGACCCTGCCCTTCTTGCTTCTCCCAGTGACCGTGGGGACCTGGATGAGGAAACGTCAGATACTTAATTTGCAAACTTTCATGGCCTTGGCGCTATCAGGAGACTGCTCCCTCCTGCACCCCAGGTGGGTCAGCTCTCTTTCACCGCTGAGCGTACAGGAGGGCGCCTAGTGGAGCACGGGTCTGTGTCCCCTCAGCTGCCATCTGAAAGGCCACTGAAGGCTGAGGCAGCTGTTTGGGGAATTGGTCCCGTGGGAGCACAGGAAGAAGCAAATATAAAAGCAACAGCCCAGGGCTCCAGAGCCTGGGTTTCGGCTGTGACAAGCTGTATCACTTCTCTTTCCCAGTCATGACCCAAAGTCTCTTTTGAACAGGTAGAGACAGCAGGCCCAGGCTTTGTAAATGCCCATCACAAACATGACCTTGGTCCCATCACAAACTGCATCATCATCTGGCACCGAGTGATGGCACAAGCTCTGCCAGCACGGCACGGGGAGCCATGCAGATATGGGGGCAGAGGCACTGCGAGCACTGCCACCCAGCCAGGACCACCTGGAAAGGCCAACGCTTGTCAAAGTTTCTAATAAGCCCGTGTGACACGTGCAAGCTAATTTGGTAGAAACTGTGCCACTGAGTACTGGCATCAAGCACTCAAGCACCTAACAAGGTAACAAAGGACATCTCCCCATTACATGCTCCCCTCCCATCAGTGGGGACTCTGGGAGGTGGGGTACAGAGGTGGAGCCCTGGGAGAAGCAGCTAACAGAGGGGAGGGTACAGGCCAGGCCAGGGCAGGGTGTGTCTCTCCAGGGCATCTGGCCTGTCTCTTGCCCTGACCTCACAAGCATGGGCACATCCCACTGTGGGTAGCCCACTGACCCTACCTGGGGGTACTAAGAAGTCAAGGGTGAAGGGCCAGGGCAGGAAATGGGCAGAAAGGATCTGTAGGACTACATCAGTGGTTCTCTAAGTATGGTCCCTGGACTGTCACTGGGTGCTTGTTAGAAATGCAAAGTCTCAGTCCTGCCCAGATCTCGTGTGAAGCCAGGAACCTGCATCTTGGCCACCCCTCAGGTGAAGGCTGAGCAGTGCAGTGGACTCACTTCTCGCCTCCTATGTTCCCTTTTTGCTCAGGTTGCTACTGCCTGGGAAGGGGCGGAAGGTGCTGCCCAGGAAGGACAATTCCCTGGGGCCATGTCCACACCACAGGGGACAGGCACAGCCCACCAGGGTGGCTTCCTCTGCCTTAGGGCCTCGGGTTGGGTCCCTCTATCTCCTAAAGTGGACAGACATGGGCAGCAGTGGAGAGGGCTGGGCCCCACCTTCTCTCGGGACCATCTTCCCTTCATCAGCCTTGAGGACCCCTTTAGTCTGGATTCCTTAGGCCTCACGTCCTCCCCTCCACCTTTGTCCTGCTCCAACACTGACTACATCTCATTTCTCTGGTGTCACCCAGTCCTGAGGTCACTGTGTCAGGAAGGAGCAGCAGTTGGGGGCAGAACCCACAGCCGACACTGGTCCCTGGGAGCTGACCGCCACTGATCATTATCTTCCTTCTCTACCTTGTCCTCCTCCTCTCTGTCTGGCCCCTGAAGGCATTAGTTCAACCCCGTCACCTAGAGACTGGGTTTAGGGAGTTGGCCATCAGACCAGTCAAGGCTGGAGAACTCCTGGCCGTCTGCCCAGCATAGTCTGCATTAGTCTGACAGGCCCTGTGAAACAGTGCCCTGAACGCCCCCCCATCCCCCTGCTCCTACCCTACTGAAGGCTGCCAACAAATTTCATCCCCCCACAGCCTCCATCTGTGTCCTTCTCTGCAGTCTTACCCTCAGAACTAAACTCACCAGACTGATAATCCAAACACACCGCCACACCATGAAACCCTCAGGGCAGTGTCCCATGGTGGGCAGAGTCAGCTGCTGCCAGCTCACAAGCCAACTGCACACGTAGTTCTTCCCAACCCCTAGTTCAGTGACATCACACTGGTGAACAAGCCCACAATGGGAGCATTTAAACCACAGCGATGGGCAAATGCTACAAATCAAAGCTCCCTGCACCTAGTCTGACCCCAGTAAAACTGTTTCGCCAGCATTGCACTTTCCTGCACACTGGAGTCACTGAGGGGTCTTCAAAAGACAGCTGCCGGGTGCCAGCCCTGGACGCTAATTTAATCTGCAAGGTGTCAGCCTCGGTGCAGGATTTTGTAAAGCTCTGCAGGTGATTCCAGAACGCAGCAAAATTGAGCACTGCAGCTCTGGGAGGGCCTGGGGTGGGACACAGACTCCGCACTGCAATGTCCACAACTGTCCTGACCTGGCCGCTGCCCACCTTTCCCATCTCCCTCTTTCTGTGCCTCTCATACCTAGGACTCCAAGCAGCTGACCCAGTGCTGCTCTCCAGATGGGGTCAAGGTCACAACATCCACATTCATTGCTCCCTCTGCAATGACAGGCCGACTTCTTGCCTGAGAGATTTCTCTAGATGTCCCCAGTCAGTGAAGATAAGAACGCCAAAGGGTGCCTTCTGGATCCCTCAGCAGCTGCCCTGCTCCCCTCAGCCCAGGCAGGCTGGCCTCTTGAGAGATCTCAGCCCTACTCTGTCATGGCTCTGCAGTGTGCACTGATGCACACTGAGGCATCACTGGGATATATGCCTCGCCTCGGGGGTTCTTTCCACGATGGCTGCTGGGAAGCCTGGGACAGACGTGACTCTCTTTTGCACAAGCACACCAGACCCACAGCACGTGGCGCAGGCACCAGCTCTGGTCCCGACTCCAGTTCATTTTCCATTAGGGATATTCTTTCCCTTCCCTCCAACCTCTTCACTTATTTTTTAAATTGTTACACCATAAGTCATCTCACATCCTTTGGGGAACAAAGAAAGGTACAAGGACACAAATGTGCACATCCAGTGCAGGCATCCAAGAGCCCAGTAATGGCTCTTAACAGGGGCTAGTGAATGTGGGCAGCAGAGACCCCATCCACTTTGCACCCCCTCTGGTTGGTTCAGTGACATGAAACTTCAAAACACAGACCAGACTCGCCTGTGCAAGATGTGTGTGCATACACATGTCAGGGGAGGGGTCTCAAGAGACAAGGGGAGCAAAGCCTTCACCCAATGCACAGGACCACAAATAGATTCTAGGTATAGCCAGTGATATTCCAGGGTAGCAATTTAAGAGTAAAATTTCAATGTGGCTATTTATAAACGATACAACCTATTTACATGGTGAAAATGAAATTGTTAAAGGTACACGGCTGCCAGAAATGGAACCAGGATATACCATCAAACACGCAGACAAATCCTCCCCCACAGTCCTCCCTGCCTGGCCCACCCCCACCCCTGAAGGGCTCATGGTTCCTTCAGGCAGCCCTCAAGAAGGCATAACAAACGTAATACGTAAGCTATCCACTCAAAATCTCTGTGCTTTTCATCTAACCTAAGTGAAAGGAGGGGAAAGGTCGAAATAGAGGAAAACCACCAGAAATGACAATCCCCAGGCTTGATACCCTCAGGCTGGGTAGCCAGAGACCACTCACAGCTGCCCTGCCTGTCCCCTCCCCCCCTCTGAAGATGACTTAATCTGTCTTCGATGCCAGGTGGTACTTAGAGGATAAACCTGGGTATTAGGCCCAAAGGTCAGCAAATCCTTAATAAGATTAAAGAACGCTAAAGCCTTTTAAACTTGCTTTGAAGGAACCACAGAGGTTTTGGCAAAAGGTAACTAACTGTTCAGAAGCTGAAAGGGCGACACAGCTTTCAAAATGCTGCAGTGCCTGAGGCCCAGTGTCCCCAGTTCGCGCTGTATCTGGGGGTGGTCATTCTATGGCAGGTTGGGTTGTGTCCAGAGCATCAGGAAGGTCTAGCCGGAGACCAAAATTAAATGAAAGAGGGGAATAAAAATAAGTTTTGGTTTTTAGACAAGGGGGATGAGGACGCGGAAAGTTCTAGATATAGGACAGAGACAGGTAAGGAATCAGAAGCCCTCGGAGAAGACAAAAGAGGAAGAGGGAACAGGAGACTCCTGCCTGGAGGTCTGAGGGTGAGTCTCATGGAGAAAAATCAGTCATGTTCCCGGCAGCCCGAGACTCTCTGCAGAGCCAGGCCCAGTGGCACAAGCCAAGGAGAAAGTCGCTAATCCCCTGGTCAGGGCCTACTGGAAGAAGGACCCCTGCACTGAGGGAGTGAAGCAGAGGGGCAACCTGAAAGGGTCTTCGCAAACTCCAGAACCTATTATGACCATCCCCCAGCTTTTGGACCTCTCACAAATTCTACATGAAACGGACATGGTCTCCCCATCCCTTTATGTACTATACTCACTTGAACAGTTTCCTCATCCTCCCAATACAGCTCACAAAGTTTCCAAAGGAAAACCCCCAATTCAAAGTAAACCAAGTTTCAAGAACCCATCTAGAATGTCCATTATAGGGAATCTACAGAGACAGAGAGCAGATCAACCATCACTCGGGCCCAAGGGAGAGTTTGGAGGGCAGGGGACTGCCTGCTAACTGGTACCAGGCTTTTTAGCAATGATGAAATCGTCATTAAGTTAGATTTTGGTGATGGTTGCACAACTGCAAATGCACTAAAACCATTCAGCTGTATCTTCTCAATGGCCGAAGTGTGCAGTATATAAATTATACCTCAGTAAAGGTGTCTGTCAGAAACACCTCCCTTGGGCATCCCTGCTCTGGAGGAATGTCAGAAATGTCCCCCAGGAGTGCTCTCTAGATGCCATCTCATGCCTCCTGGCCGTCCCTCTCGCGCACAGTCTGAATGTAAATGAAGCCCTCTCTCCCACCAGATGCCAGTCCACCCCTCTCATCCCGTGAGCTGACCTGTTGTGTCACCAACACTGTCAGCACACCCGCAGCCCTGGCAGTGAGTCACTCACCCACTGCTGGCACCAGGTCAGGGTGAGGGCTGTACTACAAAGCTGGACCCACGCCTGGGGACTCCGAGACCAGCTGTGTCAAACACACCAAGGAACCTGGCAGACGGTGCTCTGGGCCCCTTCAGCTGGTGGCTGATGACCCAACTGCCATCACATGAGAGCCCTCGGTAAAAAGATCTGAAGCAGACAAAGGCCACAGCTGGGAGGTTCTCTGAACGCACCAATGTTCCCTCAGGACAGGGAAGAAGACGCCTGCTGGGTGTGGAGGAATCTCCAGTGCACTCAGCCCATACCCCGCCTGCTTGGAGAAGCCACCCGAGGAGGCACTGTCATTTCATTGAGCACAGATGTGTTTTTGGGATGCCTTCCCACCCGAACTCTGCCCAGGAGACAGAAAGCCAAACCCCTCCAGCGCTGACCATAGTCCTGCCGTAGGGGATATTTTTAGAAATCACGAGAAAGCTGTGCAATTCTCACATGGCCCCATAGCAAGCACCCAGTGCCAGGCCTACCGAATAGCCTCAGCTCTCAAAAATGCTCTCAACGCCCTCGACCTGGGGGTCTAACATATGGTGACTCTGTCCAAGCACAGCAAGTGGGTCCCTCACACAGTAGCTGCCACAACTCCCCACCAGAGTCCGCAGTAAGACGCCACAAGCCTGCCAAGCAGGAAGCCGCAGAACCTCCCCCAAAAAGAAAGCCACAGACCTGGGTGAACGTGTTTTCTGTACACAAGTGCACACACACGTAGCTCAGTTCAACCCAAATGGGCTGAGGAAGGCCGGCCACCACACCACAGAAGGAACGTGTCAAAAGAAACAAACGGTTGCTGAGGAGAGGGCAGGTGAACAGTGACACGGGAATGTTTTCCCTTTTAAAATTACTTACCTGAAGCCCTGGTTGCTCCCAGAACAGCGGAACGGAGCCTCTGATCTGGACAAAAGACGACACGCCATCATCCATGTAAATCGTCTGTGGCACAAGGAAACAGAAAGGGAAAGATATTCCTCAATGAAACCGAATGTCCTGAGCTGGGTAACGGGATCCGGCCGCCTGCGACCTGACACCGGCCAGAATGAAGGGCAGACAGCGGATGGCGGTGCCCTCTGCTCCTCTGCCACGTGGCTGGCGCTGCCGCCTGACAGTGGCTGGGTGGCGAGTGGGTGCACTGGCACAGGTCCAGCCTCTGAGGAGGGGCCTGCGGGAGGCTCAAGCCCTCCCAGGCCTGACCCGTCCCCATCACCCTCCCGGGTCTGCAAGAATTCACACTCCCAGGACATAACCTCCCTGGAGAGCCCAACAACACCCTCACCCCTGTTTTAGGAGTCCCAGTGCACTCTGGAACTTAAGTCTGACCTCCCTCAGAGCCCCTGCCTTACCCTGTCGGATAGCTAAGCAGCAGAGAGCTACTGGAAAAAGGCAGAATGAACCACAATGAGCAGGCTGCAGCCAAAAGATCCAGCTGACTACACTAGTCAGCCCTGAACTTGACAACACAGGTCAAGACTCAACTTGAACTTGGCCTTGGTTCTGTGTCTTAAACAGGCCAGTCAATGTGCCCCATACAATTTCTACCAGCTGCCAGTGTGACAGCACCTGCAGAGAAACAAATGACACACTTTAAAAAATGTATCACCCACCTACATAGCTACATCACAGCCAGCCACAGGCCTCTGCCATATTGGAGTGCAAGGGAGTTTTAAAAGGACACAAAGTACCTTCCTGAGCAGGGTGCAGTGGCTATCAGATGCTCAGCCTTTATCTGCGCAACTCGACCCTGGCCTGGCAGGGCCGGCCTGGGCGCTGTGGCTGGGCCTTTCCATTCCTCGGCAGCCTGCTCCCTTACAGGGCAGCTCCCTGCGCAAGCGAGATCACACTCTGATCACACATGCATTAGTAATTCCGTAGTGGAGGACTTGAAAATTAGAACCACAGGATCGACAGCATGACCCTGGTGTTTGTATTGCTGAACTGGAATTCTATCCTTTAATCTCCCAGGGAAAAATCCACTGTCTATTTCCAGGTATTGAGTACCAGCAAATTCCTTACCCTTCCTTATCATACCCATAAAAGCAGAGTGAAATAGCAAGTTGTTTTTTTTTTTTTTTTTTTTTTTTT